ATGGTGGAAAGAACTGCAGTGAACTGGGGCCTTCTGAGAAAACGGAATCATGCAACATACAGGAATGCCGTGAGTATTTGTAGGAGTAATTGTCTCTACATTTACTTTTCTTTTAATTGAGTATCACCGAGTGTTGTTCCAATCCTGGCTGTAATCCACTCTATAGCGATCTTTATCCACGCTCTATGTTGCTTTACACAGTTTTCGTGATTCATGAGTTAATTAGGGACTTATAATCATTTTTTATTTGTTTTTTCGTGATTGTATCCTTTACACTTATCTTATGCTCGTGATATCAAACGTGTACCGATAACACTTAAGCAACCGTTTTAAGAGAGAAGTGTGGTCCTGAAATCAGTTAAATCTATCCTAAGCTCTATGATGTTTACATAGAATTTTGGCACTGTCGCGTTGTGAGGATAACTAAGAGCAACCTCCCCTTGAAAACATTGTCTACAAATGTGCTTAAAACTTGACTACAGGCGCTGTCATCTTCAATCTCACCCTGCAAAGTGGCCACTTTTCTGTAACACATTTATGAGAAACGAAAATATTCATTGAACTTCCAAGACTTTATTTATTCAATGAGATCGAAAGTTAACATTTTTTTCGAGTTCTTTTTCCGAACGGCAATTAAAAGAAGAGGTTTGCGAAGAGCAAGATTCCGGTCTCAAGTCACGTGATTTAATGAAAGAAAGGTACAAATCGCGTGCAAAATCCTATTTTCAACAGGAGTTCGGAGTATAAATGACCACTCCCCCTCCTCTCTCTCACCGATCCCATAGCAATCCGAGAAAAATTGATGATGAGCTACACAAAAGGGATTCTTGAAGTAAGAAAGTATTACATGGTTCTGCAGCGTCATTGTATTTTGGAAGTATGTTTACCAAGCAGGATTTCAAGTCTTTAAGATGCAATAATTGCAATCTAGTATTTTTCTGTTACATCATGCGCTGTTTAAATTTTCCCTCCTGAACATTAATTTTTTTAATTTTCATTGTTTAGCAATTGATGGCAAATACACTGAATGGAAGGAGTCTGAGTGCAGTGCGACATGTGGAGGAGGAGTAATAACTAAAACAAGAACTTGCACCAATCCTGCTCCACAGCACGGTGGAAAGGACTGCAGTGAACTGGGACCAGCTGAAATAACACTTTCATGCAATGAAGAATCATGCGGTGAGCACAAACAATCATTTTCAACCATATTCTTAAGCTCTTGAGAAGGCGATAGCAAAGTACAACGAATAAAAGTGCTGAGATAAGATTTGCTGCCCTGGTTCTAGGCAATGCTTGGTAACTGAAAATTCATTTTCAAAACTTTTGAAGAGTTTTTGTCACGATTTAGCAATTGATGGCAACTACATTGAGTGGTTGTCGATTATTTCATAATTTGCATAACTTGTGGACTTGTGAGCACTTAATTAAGGGAAAAGAGACCTTTCTTCTGTAACAGCAAGAAAAAGCTTTCCCAAAATAAAGGATAAGATTATTGTTGTCGTAATTGATTCTAAAACCAAGTTCATAGCAGGTTGTGCATAAGGGTGAAAAGTATTTCTTTTTATGGTTTAGCAATTGATGGCAAATACACCGAATGGCGGGAGTCAGAGTGCACTGTGACATGCGGAGGAGGAGTAAAA